GTTTTTCCGAGTTTAAAAATCTCGATATGAAAATTGGACTTACTTAAAGGGGCTGTATTATGTGATCCACAATCTCTGCAGTAATTTCTACTGAACTGATTTCCATCGCACAACATGTCAATATCGTCTTCGTCATAGAGAAATGAATCAATCACTACAGTTGTGGCAGGATTACAGTCTGAGTTCTAGGAATTCAAAATTAACCAGTTATCCAATTTTTGTTTCATGTGCCTTTATACTCCTTCTTATATTCCTATATATATATATATATATATATATATATATATATATATATATATATATATATATATATATATATATATATATATATATATATATATATATAACCCCTTCCAAGCCAGTGAACAGTCAGTACACACTGCATAGTGATTGAGCATGATTCATATTATATGTAAAGTAACTGGTTATTTCAAAAAATCAAAACTCACAATGATGAAATGGTCCTGCATGGTGATATAATACTAAAATCACGGCAATGGCAAATTGGCAGACACATTCTATTTTACAGGTACTTGCATTGGTGCTACGCAAGTTGTAAGCTAGGGCAGTGCATGATTGGCTGTTGGTTTTAGTTGGGATACGTAAAAGCATTTCATTGGCTAAAAGCGTGATGCAACCCTGCAATATGCTGTTCTCTGACTTTTGTTTCTATTTAGTTGCAACTTGCAAGTGAGAAGAGTGACCAAACAGCAAAAGTTTTCTCAAATAACACTGTATGGGATGGCCATTACTAGACCTCTATGGAAAACAGTTCAGAAATTATAGAACCATAGAGTATACAAAGCTGTATTAGTTCATTGGTCTACCTGGCCAATTTCTGGTTTAAACATCATCTCTGAGCCACAAATACCACTGAGAGGAAGTCGTCCACGAAGATCTTCAATAATAGACTGCAAGGATTCTTCTGCATTAACACACTGTTGAAATGCATTCGACAGCTGACAGCCTTGTACATCATGTGATGTTTCATCATTCCTCAATGACGAATGTTGTTCAATTATCCAATCAAAGAAATCCTTGCTCTCACCCGGCGATAGTCTTGACAGCAGTGAAACAAACTCTTGCTTGGCATGACCAAGGCTTGCATTTGGCTGGTCATTCATGTTAGTTCAATATCACTGGAAATAATTGAAAATGCATAAGACTTACCCGGATGTCAGGAGTAAAAATGCCTTGCATAAGGCAGAACAACTAAAGAAATCCAATTGGAATTCAAATTGGAACTTGGGTCAATTTCCAATAATTGGAATGAGTTTTTCTGTTTTTCTATTGGAATTCCAATTGGTTCCAGTTGGAATTTGGGCCAATAATCCCAATAGAAATTCCTATTGGAATTCCAATTGGATTTTGTTGTGCACTAAAACAAATATAAATACGTGCCCATGCACTTTGACCAGTATGATCAAATGAACATGTACAACAATGTTTACTGTAATGACAATTTGGCTGTGAACTGTGACCAATAATATGGAGGTTTGGATTTGACCTCCACTACCCCCCTACCATTACGGGACCATTAAACCAATCAGATTTTGAGATGTGTCTGATATATCCAATTAACATACAGCTTGCATGATAATTCATTCTTCATATACTCAACCTCATTCAATAAATGTTAAATATATAGAGAAAAACATTACAAACACAGCAATTAATGCAATCTGTATCCATGCTAACAACCAAAACAAATGCATGACAATACTGCAACCAGTATGACCATTACAAAAATGTGGGGTGGTACGTAAAACGACAACCTTGAGCAGAGTGAGAGTGACTTTTGTGTTATTAATTAAGTATTCATATGAACTATATTTGAAGCACACATTTTAAATTAATATAAAGTACAGAACTTACAGATGAGATAAAATTCAGCCTTCATAATATACCCTTTCAATAATTACATCACACATACTTTTCAGGCTTGGAGCCTCGCTCTCATTAGTAAATTATGCAAGGTGATTGGTGATTATCCCAGGTCTCCCAGGCCCTATGACGTAATTATCGAAATGGTGTATTGACTAGTTGCATGCTGCCTCGGCCAAATTTAAAATCATATGCAAATTTTTTGCCAAGGCAAGTGAGAACATTTTTAATATGCATACCTTGGCTGAGGCAAATACACCCTTCCCAGAAAGTACCTCACTTTGGGTGGAGCCTTGTTTTCGAGTAAGTGACATTATAAATAGTTCAAGCCCAACGTCTTTATCATGAAAACAAGGTTCTAGCAAAGGTGACATACTTTCCGGAAGGCTGAAATTACATGCACAGTGAGCATCATAATAAAACGATTGTATATATGATATCTACCTGTGTCTGTTGCCAAAATCCTAGCTTTCCAGTAATCCCCCCCCCCCTTGTAATAAACCCCTTCCCCAGAGCATGCCCGTTCGCAGGTCACGCCCAACCCTAGCCCTTCCCGAGAACGGTGAGCACTATTTTCCATCCGGCAAACCGCCCTATTGATTTTCTGAGGTCGTTTCTTTTTGGACTTTTTTATTAATTCGGTTAGGTTTAGAGTTAGGGTTCCGGTTAGGGGATAGAGAAGGGGAAGGGTTTGGGTTCGTTACATAGCCATTTGACACCTCTTCCATCTTCCGAAAATGACGTCAGGTCAGTTTGCTGGATGGAAAATAGTAGAGACCAACGTAAGGTCTCTAGTGCCACAGAAAAGAAAATGGACCAGAAGCCTCACTGTATATCTTTTCCTAACATTTTCGTGTCCGCGAGTTTCCGCGCCTTGCGGATCACGAATTTCGCATGCTAGATGACGTGTGTGACACTTGCTGCGAACATCACGTCTGCGTTCGTCAGCAAAACGGTTAAAACAGCACAGCAATCTTTATTACCTAGTGATGGCGTTTGATGGCGTCGTGATTACACTTGCTGGCTCGCGTTTCTATTCTGTGCTAGTGCCAACCAAACACTTCCAGTCGTTCACGATCGCGAATTTCGCGACAGTTACAACCATAGATATCTTATATACACTAGATAGCGCATCTCTTTTAGTAAAATTGAAGCCAAGAATATTCCAGCGGTTACCCCCATTTGAATAGATGGCGGCCATGTTGGTCGTTCCCACCACTGAGCTATAATATATCTGGAGGAAGTGCTCGGCATGAAAGAGTGTCGCCAACAACCTCGTCCCCAGGGTCTTCTTCGTGCATGGCGCGTGAAAAATGAGAAGACCCTGGTAAAGGCAACACCGCGGAAAAACGTCTGCGCATGCACCAAATTATGAAAATATGGCGGGGAATTTGAATATCAATTTCTAAAACAAAAACATGCTTATTAATTGGTCAAAAATTAGTAAACCAAACGAGAAAATATAGCAAATGGGTAGACTAGACATTAATTGAAAGCGTCCTGGCATTTAAAGTATGTAATGAAATAGAATTCATGTAAAAAATTGTTGATTTTAACGGACACGACTTCGAAAATTTTTGCAAAATTATTCAAAACAAAAATTCAAACTCAAAAGTTAAGAAAACTCTCGAAAAGTTAAGCTTCTTAACCCACTCAAATTGTAGAATAAATCCTAAAGTTTAATTATTGTGAACACGCAAATTTTTTATATTTGGCGACACAGTTTTTTTTAAAGAAATGTATCTCAAACGAAAATTCGGAAATTGTCGTTGCTTAGTTGATAAACAAAATGTTTCAGACGATAAATTTGTCAACAATCACCTTTAGTTCATGTTCTTGTACAATACAATTTCTTGAACCTTCTGGCTGTATTTATTCCTAGTTTTTAGAATGACATGTTTATTTTTGCGCTCGAAATCTGGCTGTAAAGACGCACAATGAAGTCATTCCTTTTTACCGCCATTTTGAGCCTTCGGAAACGTTCGGAACAGCTTCTCATCAAGTTCGCAATACTATTACAGGTAAGGTTTACGCATGCGCAGACGTTTTTCCGCGGTGTTGGTAAAGGCTGTGAAAATCTCCACGATTCATGGACATTTTAGTGCATGCGCAAAAGCGAATTTGCCTTGGCGCTGACCAATTCATTGCTGGCGTACAAATTTTTCATGGCCTTCTTGAGATGAAATATTTCAGTTTGGAAATGTATTTTTTGCTAAAATATACCTCTAGATAAGTAATTTCTCTTCAAAAATTAAGATGTCTAGAGAGAGAAAATAACAAGAAGCTAGCACGTCTAATTTTTATCTTCCTGGCCGAAGAATTCGCGTTGTTTGTCATGTCTCACGGCTGCTTGCACTGGCAGTCTGACAACACTGTCACTGTGAAGGTAATTGAAAAACTACAATATATTATTATTTATATTATAATTCAACATATAATGGCCCTATGACTGGTGCTAATATGCCCACAAAGTATTTTTTTAAAGCGCTTAGTTTTGAGAAATTATAATTTGATAATGAAAATTTACTAGTGGGCCATAGACTCATATCCATTTTACACTGTGAACGTTGGCACTTGTTTAAGTTATTTTGACTAAAAATTATCGCATGTTAATAAATATTCTAGTATATAATAATACTGTAATTTATAGTTTACTCCCTTGGAGCATGCAAAGTGCCTACATGTGGAATAATTTGCCTTAGATCCACAGCTCTCATACAGGAGATTAGAACTCCCATAAATTCTTTTACACATCCTAGTACATTTTACCATTCTAAAAGTGCATTTCCCCATCCCCTTTCAGACAGCAGAAATTTAATTTGTATTGTGAGTTTATATTGTGCACTGAATGGTGAATCAGTAAAACTAAAAGATTGCCAACCAGTTTAGAGATAGTTTTGTTCAAATGTAACTTATGTAAGTATGTTTCTCTCTCAATTAGAAATAAATCTACTGTTAATAAATTAATTGGATAGATTTAGTGTAACATATAGATTTAGGTTTCCAGTTTGTGAAATGAAATGCAAATCAATTGTATTATATTTTAGATATTCATGCTTCTCAAATTTCAATATGGATAAAACAAGAACTGTCAAGAAGACTGCAACTGTATATGTACAACTTAATGGGATGGGAATGCTGTTAGTCTTCGCATCTAGGAATGTTGCTAATATGAGATTATTAAGAAAACCGCAAAGTCAACAACTATCCTAGATTCCATAATATTAGGAAGCTGGCTCAACTATACTTAATATTCTGGTAATACTCAAGAAAGTGACATTTCAATTCAACAATGCATATACAACAGAACAAGATATTTCCATACCAAGACAATTCTTACTGAATTAGTATTTAGCTGATATTTCATTTTTTACAGTATTTAAAGTTATATACAGTGCTGTTTTAAGTTAAATAACAAAGTTACTTGGTTCAAAATCTGGTCTTTGTTTTTCCTTCTCTGTACTGTGCAAGGGTAAAGAAAAGATGTGGTAATATGCATCCTCACATGCGGCTGAT